TGAACCCTCCTGAACCCTTCTGAACCCTCCTGAACTTAATTATTAAATATTAATTACTTAATTATTAAAAGTTAACTATATATATTTGTATTTTATATTTTTATATTTTACATTTCTATATTTAAAATATTATTTATTCAATGATTTAATTAGTAAAAATAATTTTTATACATATATTTTATATTTTCTTTTTATATTTTGCATTTCTTATATTTAAAATAGTATTTAATTATTAAAAATAAATTTTTATATGCATTTACTTTTTATATTTTCTTGTTCTATTTTATATTTTTTTCTATTTAAAATATTATTTACTTAATTATTTAATGATGCAAAATTATATATATATTTATAATTGATTTGTTTATATTTTATATTTCTCCTATTTAAAATATTATTTACTTAATTATTTAATGATGCAAAATTATATATATATTTATAATTGATTTGTTTATATTTTATATTTCTCCTATTTAAAATATTATTTACTTAATTATTTAATGATGCAAAATTATATATATATTTATAATTGATTTGTTTATATTTTATATTTCTCCTATTTAAAATATTATTTACTTAATTATTTAATGATGCAAAATTATATATATATTTATAATTGATTTGTTTATATTTTATATTTCTCCTATTTAAAATATTATTTACTTAATTACTTAATGTTAAGAATTATAGATATATTTATATTTTATATCTTTTCTATTTTATATTTTTTTCTCTTTAAAATATTATTTAATTATTTAGCGATTAAAAAATTAATTAAAAAAAAAATCTTTCTATTTTCTTTTTCGATTATTTTCTTTTCAGACCCCCCACACGCCCTAAAAAGCCACCAGCGCACGGTGGGGGTTGGTAATTATCACCAGTAAGTCACTGGTGCCTCACTGGGGCGATGCTGCTGGACACATCCAGCCGGGATTTTATTTTTTTGGGATAAAAAGAGGATGCAGCTCCAGGCACAGCCATCCCCTCTTAACGGCAGGAGAAAGTGGGGAGAGGGGGGAAATTAATTACAAAATTAAGGATACCACTGCAACATTTCCCTTTTTTATTTCGCTCCATAAAACCGGGATTTGTCCTACAAATCCCAAATCTCTGATTTTTTTCTGGCTGCCCCGGAATAGCGATGGGAGCTGCAAGATTTGGAGCGACTGGAGAAGAGTCAGGGCAGCTTTATTTTTTATTTTAATTTTTTATTTTTTAATTTTTTTATTTTTATTTTTATTTTTATTTTTATTTTATTTTTTACTTTTTATTTTTATTTTATTTTTACTTTATTTATATTTTATATTTTATATTTTATATTTTATATTTTATATTTTATATTTTATATTTTATTTTATATTTTATTTTATTTTATTTTTTATTTTTTTATTTTATTTTTTATTTTATTTTTATTTTATTTTATTTTTACTTTATATTTATTTTTATTTTTTTATTTTTATTTTTTATTTATTTGTATTTTCATTTTATTTTTATTTTTTAATTTTTATTTTTTTAATTTTTATTTTATTTTTTTATTTTATTTTTTATTTATTTATATTTTCATTTTATTTTAAATTTTTTTAATTTATATTTTATTTTAATTTTAATTTTTATTTTTTATTTTTTGTTTTTATTTTTAATTTTTTTGTTTTTATTTATTATTTTTTATTTTTTATTTTATTTTTATTTTTATTTATTTATATTTTTTATTTATTTGTGTTTTCATTTTATTTTTATTTTATTTTTTTAATTTTTATTTTATTTTTATTTTTATTTTTAGTCATCTTTTAAATCCATGGAGCTGCAGGGAGCATCCCAGGGAAAAGGCCAGGCAGGATGGGAGCTCCAGGACCTTTCCCTCCCCTGGGAACCTCCCCCGTGCTGAGATGAAGCAGGGATGGAGTCAAATCATCAACGGGAGGGGAATTCACTCAATCCACCCCCATTTCCCCCTCGGGGAGGGGAGAGCTCCCTCCCCTCCTCACCTTCCCCAGATCCCTGTGCCAAACCCTTCCCCAGCTGCTTTGGGGAAAATTCCGGGTTTTTATAGGCCAGGGATGGAATCTGGAGGCTGCAGTTGGCAGCAGACAATGCAGTCCCCCTCCCAGAAATGGCTCATTCCCTCGTGCCGCCCCAAAAATGTCGGATTTTAGCAGAAATCAGCAATTATGGCCCCGGAGCCGCGGACGGTCAGCGCCCGCCTGCCCGGGGCCGAGGGATATTTTTAGAGGACAAAAGGGAATTTGCTGGGATAATAATAACAATTATTTCTGGAGCCTGTGGAAAAGGCGCTGGACGCTCCCGGAGCTGTGGATGCTGAAGGTGCCAGGGGAGGGGGGCACTCCAGAGGGGCACAGCCCCACAGCTCCATCCCTGTCCCTCTCCCAGGATTTGGAGGAGGGATGGATGGAAAAGGCAGGATCAGGGCCCCAGGCTCAAAATGGGACACGGCTGCACCCAGGACAAGTGCTGGGAAAAACCACTCTGGGAGCTTTACTGATGCTGCTTCCCCATGGAAAACATCATCATCATCATCATCATCATCTTCAGGGAATCCCAGAAGGGTTTGGGTTGGAAAGGGACCTTAAATCCCATCCCATTCCCACCCCTGCCATGGCAGGGACACCTTTCGCTATCCCAGGCTGCTCCAAGCCCTGTCCAGCCTGGCCTTGGACACTTCCAGGGATCCAGGGTTTCTCTGGGCACCCTGGGCTCCCCACCCTCCCAGGGCACAATTCCCAATTCCCAATATCCCATCCATGGCACTCCACACCCTCTCCCTGTGAGAGGATAAATCCACTGAGGATCATCAGGAGATGCTCCAGAAACTGGAAACGGGGACACAGAAAGGCTGTGGGTGTGGGTTCATTCCATAGTTTTCCTTGGCTGGAGGAAAGAGGTGCCAGGATCAGCAAACCTGGCAAAATCACATGGAAAAGAACCGGCCAATTATGTTCTGAGTTTAATTAGCACCAGTGGGAGATGGGAGGGTGGTCCTGGGTGCTGTGGAGGACAAAGGCAGCACAAACCTTCCATCAGACACTGGAGAATCCTCGTGTTCCACCCAAAAACATCCACTCAGGATCCTGCTCGGAGTCACACCTCGAACCAGCCCTTGGGGAAAAGTCCCCTGGGTGCTGCTCCCAAATCCCCACCCCACATCCCAAAGGAGAGCCTGCCCCGAGCAGGGGAGGGAGGGAAGGAAGCAGAGGATGGGCTCACTCATCACACAGCAGGACTGGGGTTCTGGGGGGCTGGGACAGGCTCTGCCCTCCACAATGAGGGGTTCAACCCTTCATCCCCACAGCCCCTGAAGGTTGGGGACCCCCCTGAGCATCCCCACGGACACTCCGTACTCCCACTTATTTCAGGAGTTTATTTCTTCCCAACTCCAGAGCGTTGGAAGTGGCTGGCACTCCCACAAAATTCACCAAAAATCAGGATTGAAAGGCCCAGCCCACCCAACTGCCCTGCCTGAGGGCAGGAGTCGCCTTAACCTGCTCAAGGAGCAGCCTCATCCCCGCTCTCCAGAGCCAAAAACACAATAAATACAACTTTGTCCTTAAATTCAGCCGTGTTCCACCTCTCCCTTTAAAGCCTTTGAACATTTGACATCTCCAAGAGTCCAAGTGATGCAAACAACTTTCACTTTATTGTCACGTCCAGCCCTACTGCAAAAGGCACACAACGAACTTCATTGGTACAAAAGGATTTCGCTCCGGGGAATTCCGAGTGGTTTTCCTTGAGTTTTCTTTATTTTTAAATTTTATTTTTAATTTTTTTTTATTTTTTTTATTTTTTTTTTGCTCCTTTTGCAACACAGTCACCGGGCTCTCCCATCTCCCTGATGGGAAGATCCTTTCACAGAAAGGATTATTTTGTGCAG